TGCCTGCTCGCAGATCCTCGGCTGGGATGCGTCCCGTTCCACACATGGAATTGTTCCAATTCCCTCTGCACCTTGCTTCAGATTGGAGATTCGACATCTCCAAGCTTTTTTGGCTTGGAACACGTGCATAACCCTAACCCTTATTTAAAGCTCAGTTAATTTACTGGGCCTGGGAAGGTTGTAACCAAGTGTTTTACACGTTTCCCATCAATGTGACATCAGCTCTGCTGACCTGGCATATTTGTGACACCATTAGCGGCTTCTGCTTTGCCCCCTGGCAAGAAGCAATCAAATTGCATTTCAAGGATTTATCCCTTGAATTTGCAAACAGCTTGAAAAACCCAACCAAACAATCCACAAAGGATGGGTCAGGGTTTCCTCAGCAGCTCTGTCTGCAACCAGACCCGTTGGCTGCTCCAAGCCCTGTCCAGCCTGGCCTTGAGCCCTTCCAGGAACAGGGCAGTCACAGCTTCCCTGGCCAACCTGTGCCAGGGCCTCACTGCTGGAACAGGAGCTGGCTTTAGGGGAAGAGCAAAAGCTTTGAGCAGCATTAACTCAGGGAAATACAAAGTGAGAGCGAGCAGGCTGGCTTTTCCTGAAGGGGCACCGGTGAGGATGTCAGGCTCTGGAATGGTGGCCCACGGACACGGTGTTTGCCAGGATTCCGAGTCCCCTGCGCACAATGGCCCACAGACATCGTGTTTTCCACAAGCCGACGTTCCCCGAGGCTGGTGGCCCACAGATACGTTTCCCAGGATTCAGTGTCACCTGTGCATAGGATGGTGGTCTATAGTCGTGGTGTTTCCCAGGACTTAGTGGCTCCTAGGAAGAGCGGCTCACGAACACGGCGTTTTCCAGGATTTAGTGTCCCCTGAGGATTGTGGCCCAGGTGCATGACGTTTCCTAGGGTTTGGTGGCCCGGGGGCGTGGTGGGCACCCAAGGGCGTGGCCGGTGCCCCAGAGCCCCGCCCCGGGCGCGGCGCCGCGGCCGCTGCGGTGGGCACGGCTGCTGCCCGGGGATGTACGCCGGCAGGAGGAGGAAGAGGCCGGTGCCCAAGAGGTGAGTGCAGTGAGGAGGCTCCCCCGGCCACCCCCGTGCGTGGGACCGGGCAGCGGGGTCCCGGCTGCTTCTGGGGAAGTGCCCGGAGCCGCTGTGGTGCGAGCGCTGGGCGAGCAGAAGGGAGCAGCGTGCTCGGCTTACTCGGTTCTAGTCGGGGTTCATTGGAGCTAACGCTGTGTCGGCTCTGGCACGCTGGTGGGAGAACAGGAATCCTAAAGATGCTTGTCCTGCATCCCGGTGAGGAAGCTCGCCGAAGAGTTTGAGCTGTTCAGCAGTGATTTGCGGGCTGGGCTGTGGTTTGGTGCCCGCCTAAATCGAACATACAGCAATTAGTAATTAGCAAAACATCTCGACTCCTTAATTATTAATTATCACGCTGCTCCGTAGCTGTTGCATAACGTCCTCCTCGGTGTGTTCCCGGTGTTTCCTGCCTCCCTCGCTCCTTCCCCCACTCCCAGGTCCCCCCAGCCTGTTTAAGCTCAGCTTTTCCAGGTGTGTAGGAACTAAAGGTGGATATATATTAATGGGAGGCTGTGGAGGGGGGACGGGGATGAGCTGAGTCCAAGCCCGGCAGGGGGGAGGGAGACGCAATGCTTTAAACCTGTGATGAGGTGACCCTGAGCCTCTCTTGGGAATTCATTTGGGAGTCCTGTTGTGGAACACGGAGGATGGCTGTTTTGCCACAAACCTGTCTCCTGCTCATCTTGGAGTGGCGATTCCAGCCCTCTGGCAATCCAGCCTGAGGGTTCGGGCTGGATTTGTGTGGCTCAGGAGAAAGTGTCTCTTTGGAGCGCAGAAGGGACCTCATTCCCTTGTTCTGCAAGGTAAGCCTTGGGAATGGGAATAGGAAGAGATTCTTTTTCTCTCTGATGGGTTGGATCTTGGAACAGGATCCTGCTGGGAGAGGCCAAGTGGAGCAGGGCTGGTGGCAGTGGGATGTGTGGCCGGCCGGAGGGGACAGGGAGGATGGGCTGAGGGGCTTCTCCAGCTCCTCTGCAGTTTGCTCAGGGCTTTTTACTTAAAAAAAAAAAAACAAAACAAAAAACCCACAAACCCACAACAATTAATAAGAATTAGGAGACAAGAGATCAGCTCAGGCAAAATCCACTGTTGGGAATAATCTCCCTTGGTACTTGCCAGCTTGCAGAGGGGATACACTTCCTATTGGGTTACTGTTCAAAGAGCAGCTGGGGAAGAACAAACCCCAGCAGCATCACAGCCTTTGCCCCGCGGGGAGCTGAGCTTTCTCTCGGCACGGGGGCCACCAGCTTCACCGTGACCCCCGTGGCACGGTGTGCTTCATAACCATGGGGCCAAAGGGAAGGGAATTTAAACAGCTTTTAAATGTCTAGAGCAAGCTTCACTGTTTCCATGAGGTATTTTCCTCACTGGTATCCCCCCTCTTAAGGCTGGCCATGGAACATGCTGCCGCTGGGATGTGCAGGAGCAAAGGTGTTGGGGTGTCCTCCTTGGGCCTTGGGGTGACTTGCTGTTGGTTGTGTCACCCTGTGTGCCTCAGCCAGAGGATTTTCAGTGTTTGGCCAAGCTGTCCCAGTGATTCTGTTACACCTCAGTGTTTTACACACTGCCATGATCATCTCCAGTCTCATTTTCTCTTCTTCCTGGCTGTTTGGGGCTGGATTTGGATGGTGAGTGGCCAGAAGACTTTAAAGTATACCTGAGGAATCTGAGAGAAATTTTCTTCACTTTTTTTTTTTTTTTTTTTTAAGCAAAGGAAAACTATTTTCATTTTTCTCCTTCCTGGTGTGTGACAGTGATTTCAGAAGTGTTTAGACTTTCTAAGAGCCCTGGTGCCAGCGTGTTTTACCCCACTTGCATGGACTAGTTTGGAGCTGGGCTGTGCCAGCCTCCCTGTGAGAGGGAATATCCCTCCTGATGCTGCTCTTACAACCCAGCAGGCTTGAGATTTCCTGGGGAAATGCTGCAATTTTCCACTCAGCCTTAAAAGACCTCTCAGTCTCTGAGCTGTAAATTCAACAGGCACCCCAGTGCATTTCATTTAATGCTCATTTCCTCTCACATCACACATGCGAGCAGCCCTGCCAGATGAGATTGGAGAGGGGTTGTAGAGGAGAGAGCTTAAATTGCTGGTAAATACTGGCAAATCCTGTTATCCAAAGCTCCTTCTTGAAGTGAGGATGCCTGCAGAGAGGGAGTTTGTGGTTAGACAAATTACATCAAACCAAATGAGATGCATCTTAGGGGATGCAGCCGAGTGAGATACAGAGCTTGGGGGGAACTGAGGGGTTTGTCTTTGAGCTACGAAATTCAGATTGGCATTAAAAAATGAAGGACACAGGGTGACATCCAAGTCTCATTAAAGTTACTAACAGAGCTCTTACTGCTGTGCTGGGATTTTGGCTAAAATAACTGCAGCTCACAGAGATGGGACCTTGTGTAGGCTTCAGGCTGCTCTCCTGGACGCTGTTCCTTCTGCAGGCTGAGGGTTGCCCCCAGGGCCTAAGTTTGGCATCAAATGCTGGTTTAATTTGGAAATGCCCATCTGAAAGTCAGAAATCACAATATTGGAAGAAACCAAAACTTTTTCATCAACTTTTTTTTTTTTTTTTTTTTTTTTTAAAGACTGGCTCTTTTCAAAGTGAAGTGCCCTAAACCACCCTTTGAGATATCCCTTTCTTTGAGTCATAGAATCCCAGAAGGGTTTGGGTAGGAGGGGACCTTAAAGCTCATGTCATTCTGCCCCATGACTGCCCCATCCCTGGAAGTGTCCAAGGCCAGGGTGGACAGGGCTTGCAGCAGCCTGGGATAGTTGAAGGTGTCCCTGGAATGGCAGGGGGTGGAATGAGATTAGCTTTAAGATCTCTTCCAACTCAAACCAGTCCGTGATTCTGTGATTTCTAAGAGGAGCAGGGTGTGTGTGGAAAAATCTTAACCGTTTCACTCTTGTGGCTGCACCAAAGCTAGTGCTGGGTTTGGAAAGAGCCTGTTGGACAATCCCAGTTTGATTAATCTCTCCTCTGCCTCTTCCAGGCCCAAACCACCCCCTCCCGAGGGTGTGAAGTCCAACCCCTCCAAGCGGCACCGGGACCGGCTGAACCAGGAGCTAAACAAGCTGACAGGGCTGCTGCCCTTCCCCGAGGATGTGCGCTCCAGGCTGGATAAACTCTCCGTCCTCCGGCTGGCCGTGGGCTACCTGAAGGTGAAGAGCTACCTGATGGGTGAGTGTCCCTGCTGGGAGTGGGGAAAAGCCCCTGGGATCAATCCCCACTGCACAGCTCATGTCCCACCCCAAACTTTGGGATGGGAAGTTGTGATTCCTGAAGGGTGCATGATGGTGAGTTGTGGGAGCAGGGCCTTGGATGTCCATACTGGCAGGAAAATGTCACCATGGATAGAGGGAGCAGCTTGGAGGCATTGCCAGCAGCTGAGACCTCCTGCAAAGTTTGTCCATCTCATTAGCAGCCATCCTTTATGTCCAGAACCTCTCCTGTGTCACATTCCCACCACCGTGTGGAGAAGAGACAGAGGTGGGTAAAACACCCACCTCTTGTGTACCATTGAACAGCAACATTGCCCTCATCTAACTGGAATGGCAACTCAAAATTAAATTAGTTAAATTATTGAATGTTCATAATATAATATATTACATGTTCCCTTTTATTGTATTTCATATTCTGTATTTCCTTATTTATTCTATATTTGGTATTCTTATTTTTATACATATATAGTTCCTTATATATAGTTCCTTCTTCCTCCCTCCCTAGTCTTCTTCAACCCTTCGTTATTATTATTACAGTTACTGTACATTTAATAAATTATAACATTATATATGGTTATATATGGAGCCTGGCTGGGGGGAGTCACCACATTCCCAGGAGTCCCCAGCATGTGTGGATAGGGACATGTTCCCTCTCCAGTGACTTGGGCCTGATGGAATGGGTGATGGGCACTGGGGAAGGCAGAGCACTGGGGCAGGAAGGCAGCAGCAGCTTTTTCTATTTAGAGGCTCTTATTGTCTTCTCCCTGCTGCAGACTGGATAAACTTGGCTCCCTTGGCTTTTTCCTCATGCCCACTCCCCTGGGCTCTCCCAGGGCCCTCTCCAGCTGGGATGCTGGGCTCCAGGAGCAGACTCCTGTGCCAGACTCTCCAGATGGGACCTGTGCCTCTGAGCAGGAGCTGGTTCCCTCTGGATGTGCTCAGAGTGTGCTTCCCAGCATGAGAGCTGCTCTGGGAAAGCATTTGCCATTGCAGGGGTTGTGGAGCCCTGTTCTTCCAGGCCAATTATTCCCATCTGTCTGCTTGCCTGTGATTTCCAGCTCCTTCCCCTTGCTCTGCCCTGAGGTTCATCTTGTTTGACTTCAGATCGTCCCAGATTCAGCAGAGTCAGCCTGGCTCTCAGGTGTGCCCGATGACCCGTGCCTGCTGCTGGTGTGTCCTGCTGGGCATTTTGGGGGGACACGGTGGTACCCCTTGTGCTCTGCTTTCTGCCTCAGGTTTGTTGTCCTGTGCTTCGTGCAGGCTCCTCTCCTGCTGCAGGAGAGTGTGGCATCACCTGGTGAGCATCCCTACCCACTCCCCATCCGCAGCCCAAGCCCGGCCTTGTCTCCAGGCAGGAGGGAGATGGATGTTTTGAGAGAGAGATAATTGCCTTATCTCCAGGCAATTGAGAGACCAATTGCACAGTGGGCTCAGGGTGGTGCCCTGAGGCACCTTTTCTCCTTGTGCTGTCTCTCCAGCCCTAGAGTGGAGCTTCCCAGCACTGTCAGCAGCTTGTCTGGCTTCTAACACCAGGAGAAACCTGAAAAGAGGCATCCAGGCTTCTCCATCTTCTCTGGCATTTCTGAGGTGTGGGTACTGTGTGCCTCTGGCTTGGGAGCAGACCTGTTTAATGGGGTGTAGGAAGCCAGGCATCAGGGTTTGGGGTGGGACAGAGCAGAGGACAACCACAGTGAGTGTGGGTGCTGGTATCACTGCTTCCACAGTGGATACGAGGAAAGGGACTTGTCATCTGTGTGGGATCCTGGCTTTCATTGCAGGGTAGTGACTCACTTCATCATCCTTGGAATCTGCTTTGCTTTTAAATGTTCTTCTCTGTGCTTTAATGAGAAACCAGGCTAATTAGTAGTTTGCTGGAAATGCCAAGCTTCAGGCCTAGAGAAGGAAGCTCTCAGAGCTCCCTCTGCACCTCCATGGGCTGATTCGTGGTGTGCACACCTGTAACTCCTCTGTGCCCTGGGGCAAACGCTGCAGGTGTTGCACAGCTCTCTGCTGCCTGGGATCTGTCTTCCTTGAGCAAAATCAGGGGGCTCAGAGCTTGGTCTCCCCAAGCTTTGCCCATTGGGCACAACCTGTGAGCGATGCTGGGTAGCGGTGACAGCTCTGGCGCTATCCCAGCCTGCCTTAAAGGCACTTGAAAGGTTTTGTCACTTGGGTAAACAGTGGCTGAACCTCACTGCCAGACTTGTGCTGAGCTCTGTCTGCAAACCAATTTGCAGTGGTTGCTGCTTGGGCCTATGTCTGACAGTCTCCCAGACAAATAAATCTGGAGTGACTTTGCTGATCCCTGTCTCTGAGAGCAAGTGCCAAGGAGAAAAGCTTGTGTCTGTGTTGCCAACTGCCACGATGCTCTGGGCTCTCTGCGGTGTGACAGGAGCCTCACTTCGTGTAAAGAGGGAGATATCACAAAAGCTTGGGTGGATTTGAGTGCTGAGTGGCTCAGAAAACCTCCAGCTAGCTGGAGAGCTGTGCTGGGGTTCGTTTCCTACTGTTCCTGTAACAAAGGAAGCAGATGTTGGGGCTGCATATGTGGCTCTGCTAAGGGCAAGCAATAAAATGGGGCTTAAAATGCTCGCTGGGGTGGAGAGACTGATTAGGGAATGTGCTGCCATGCCTTCTTCCTAGGACACCAGGCAGGGATATCTGCAAGAGAGAGGATCACAGAGTCCCAGACTGGTTTGGTTTGGAAGGAAGTTCATCCAGTGCCACCCCCTGCCACGGGCAGGGACACCTCCCACTATCCCAGGGTGCTACAAGCCCCATCCAGTCTGGCCTGGAACTCTTCCAGGGATCCAGGGGCACCCACAGCTGCTCTGGTAATCTGTGCCAAGACCTCACCACCTTCACAGCCTTCCCAACATCCAACCTAACCCAGTCTCCTTCAAAACCCACGGAAAACCCTGTCGTGGTGTGAGACCACACTCTGGAGTCTGGCAAAGCTTGAGATACCTAACAGCTCCTAGCAAACAGTGTAGAGTGGGCTACCTCCCCATCCAGCAGACCTGGCTGGAGCAGGGGCTGGGCTTAGGAGGTCTCACCAGGTCCTTTCCCACCTCTGCTGCTGGTTTCAGTGGTTCCCTCCCCAGTTCTCTGCTGCAAGGCAGCTGGCAGCAGGTCTCCCTGGGTAATCTCACTGTAGCCAACACTAAATTAGCTTTTTTATTCATCTCCTTGCTGTTTGTTGCTACCATGGGCCAGAGCTACAGGGGTCTGGGCCTAAAGGAACTGAAACAATGAAAGGAGTCAAACTCAAATCTGTCCCTGGGCGAGATCCTGCAGGGATGTGTGGGATGGAGATTTGCAGCAGCAGGTTTGAGAGGCTGGTGTGGTCTTGGGGATGCCAGCACTCCCCAGGGCATTTCAGTGCTCCTCAGAAAACACAAAATGACTTTTCCTAGTAGTTCATAATCTGTAGGTTTGGCATTTGTCTGTTTCACTTGGATGGCACAAGCCTGCTCTGCATGGCACCGTGCCTTTGTTAAACAGCTGAGGCAGAGGTTGATGCTGATTTGACTGGGTTTGGGATTGGATCCAAGAGGAAAACAGTTGTGTGTGGCTTGGTGTTGCTGGAAGAGCTGGGAGCTCCTGGTTTTTGGATGCCAGGCACCTCTGGAGCCTGTTCAAAGAGAAGTGTTTGCTATGGATGAAGCTTGTCAACTCCCCTCAGTGTAACCCAGTCTGTGAGGGCAGCACTGGCTCTGGGGTTGTTACCAATAACTTTTTATTTTCAGTGCCAAATCCCTGCCAGAGGCAAGGGGTGTGTTTTAGCCTCCATGGCTGCATTGCCATGTTTTTCTTTAGGAATGTGTTGGGCAAAAAAATGAAGAGATTAGATGACTTTGCTCCTTTTTCCTTCTTTCTCCTGCTGGAAGTTTTTCCTCCATCGCAGGGCTTAGGAGCCTCCTTGCAGAGGCAAGAAAGCCAGCCCATAGGGATGTGTGGGGTACATCCTGATTCATTGATGCTGGAAACTGCTGATCCGGTGTCTCGGTTTTGGAAGACAGGTGTCTGCTAGGGAGGGCAGGAGCCTCCCTTGGACTGAAAATGTAGACCCTTTCCCTCTGAATTATTAGAATTTTGAAATCAAGGGACTCTCAGGGAGAGATCTGGGGATAGGAATAACAGTTCTTTACTGGTATAACAAGGCACACAAACAACAATAACTACAGCATTAACAACAAAACAGAACCAGGGGCCCTGTGACAGCTTTCTCGGCTGAGACGGGAAGGGATGGAGGAGAGGCTTTGTTTCACAAACCCCTCGGGCGGGCAGTCCTGGTGCTCCTGCAGGGCTCTGAGGAACAGTCGGCTGGATCAGCAGGGATGAGCTGAGATCCTGGGCCGGTGGCTGAGGTGGATCAGCAGGGATGAGCAGAGATCCTGGGCCGGTGGCTGAGGTGGATCAGCAGCTCCGTGGCGGTGCCTGGCACTGCCACACGTCCCGGCAGGACAGGGGGTGCGAGGCCACCAACAAAGAGGGAAGAAGAAGCAGCAGCTCTGTCTGGGTGATGGTGAATTCCCTTCTCTGTCCCACAACAGCCCACAGCAAAATATCCTTCTCTCAAGCCAAAGAAACCTGCCAAAACTGCCCCCGCCCTCCCCTTTTCCTGCCCCCTTCCCCCCTGGGCCCTGCTGAACTCTGGTTTCTCAAGCACCCACCAAGTACCAGCAGTCAGGTTTTCCCCACAAATAATAGGTAAAAATTCCACAGGTGAGCCAGAACTAAAGGAAGGACATCTAACCCCCAATATGTGGTCTGGCATCTTCTGGCTGGTCTTGGGGTTCAGGACAGAGCTGGATTTCCCCCTCCTGTCATAAAAATTACAGCCTCTGTCTTAGCACTTTGAAAATGTGAGTGATCATCACACTGCTCCAGCAAATGCCTGGGACTTCCCTGGTAACTGCAGATGGCTTTTGCCATGGTCTTCTTTTCACAGAATTATGGAATCATTAAGCTTGGAAAAGACCTCTACGATCATCAGGTCCAACCATTAACCCAGCACTGCCAAGCCCACCACTAACCCATGTCCCTAAGCACCACATCCACATGTTAATTCCCATTAATTGTCCAATATGCACTGCAGGAGGTTGGAAAAACTGGGCACAAACAGCAAAAGTGCACCGTCCTTTTACCCAGTTACTTCTGGTGTGGGTATATTACAGCTTGGATACACATTGGACCCGTTTCCTTTAATCCCATTAATTTGTGGTCTCAGCTGCTCTGTGTGGGACTCTCAACTGCTCCATTAGAGTTAAATGGGATGAATTAGCCAGCTTTTAATACAGGTCCTCACCTGCTTTGTCCTGCCTGGCAGCCAGTGGGGCTCTTTTCCTCCTGCCAGCCAGTGTTTCCAGTCCATCTTAGCCCCTTGGAGACCTGGCTTCAGCAGGCTGAGGGATCCATGGCTCCAGGTGGGATTCCAGAGGGTGGCATCTCCCCATTTTGTCTCAAGCACATTTTCAGGAGTGATCCCTCCCTCCCATGAGGTTCCCCATGTTGTAAATAGCCTGGGGTAGGATTAAAATGTTGGGTTTTCCTTTCCAAGTCAAAAAGTGACTGGGAATAGCCTCTTTATCCCTGGTGGTTGCATGGGCATGGAAGTGCTTGGGTTTCTCTGGGGATTGCTCCCAATCCTGATGGTTCTTGGCAGTTTGAGTGAGGATGAGTTCAGAGACCTGTTTGGAGGAGGAGAGCCACAGGAACACCATGGCACCTGGCTGTGGATGCTGAGGACTGGGCTGGATGTGAGCACCAGCTGCTCCACACCACCAGGACTTTGGACAGCACCTCTTTGAGTTTCCTCCTCTCTCTCCATGCTCCAGACCTTCTCCCCAGGTCAAGTGTGTCACATGGGTGACAGATTCTGGAGGATTTTTGAGCTTAGCTGTGCAGGAATGGACTGCTCTGTGTTTGAGAGAAGGGAAAGTAAGCACCTTTGGTGGGAGCTTAATTGCTAAGATCAGTGGGAGAGGTGAAGAAATTTTGCTGGAAAGCACAAGATGGGTATTTCCTGCTGGATGCTGAAAGCCACAGCAGCTCTCCTCAGCTTTCCCTGCAGATGCTGCTGGTGGACACTGGGAGAGGGCTGGAGACCAGATGCTCTCAAGATGTGCATGCTCTCAAGAAGTTCTGTGCCCTTTTGGAGCTTTGTTTTGGAAGAACTTGTTTCTTTTTGAAAACCCCTGCCAGCCTGCTTCATTTCAATACTTTAGAGAGGAGCCAGGCCTTCAAAAGAAATCAAATTTTAAATGAGAATTTATGTTTCATTTTGAAACTATTATGCTCCATGAAGTGTGAATTGAAGCCATGTGGTCCAGATGGGATGCTTTTCCATCGGAGTCACATGCCAGTCACGTGAAGAGGCTTTTTGCTTGGTGTTTCCCTGTTGAATCTCATCCTTCCCAACCTTCCCCAGAGGTCTCACATCCCCTGAGCAGGCTGGTCTGAGAGCACAGGATGGGAAAGAGCAGAAGCTGTGGCTGATGGGGAAGGTACAGATGCTGCCTGAGGATGTCCAAGGAGTGCTGAAGGTTTAGGGTTGGAAGACTTATCCCAGCTCTGTGGAGATGGAGACTGACCCTGCTCCAGAGCACCCTCTCCACTGCTATTTGTGTCACTTTATGCAAGACCTGCAGCTAATAACCCTACCCTACTCTATCCATGCCCTGGCTGCTGACCTCTGTGGATGGGTGCTTGTTGGCATTCAGGCTCCAGACATAAATAGATCCCAGGGACGTTTTGACTCCAAATTTGTTTTGAATTCAAACATGCCAATCCATCAGGGAAAATGCTTTTGCATGTTGGTGGTTTGCTGCAGAGCAGATCAGCACTTGCACATGAAACTTCTTTAGAGTCCAAATTGTTTTGGCTTTGAACTTGGTGTTACCAGGGAAGAAACCAAACAAACCTTTAAATCATTTCAGTAGTGAAGTGAGAGCTTATGCCATGGAGCAAATTAAATGTATGGTCAGACGTAGGATGGTTTGAGGTTCTTCCTCATTCTCAGCATTCAGAGGATCTTTCCCCTTTGGATCCAGCACTATCTGACACGCAGGGCTGAGATGGGGCAGGCAGTGCTCTCTGGGATGTGAATTACACAGCACATGTGAGCTCTGTTGGACCTCTGGGAGCTGCAGGAGCTGGAGATGGTGGCAGAGGTGGGGTGGCTCCCACATGGCAGCTGCTTTGAGCTTTTCTGTGATTTTGTTTTTGTTGAGCTGGCACAAAAACATGCCTTGAAAAATCATCCTTTTGCTGGCAGCTGAGCTTGGATTGAGTTTTTTCAGTGATAATCAGCAGATAAAGGACCATGCTGGGGATATCCCTTGGAGCTTCTGTCCTCATTCCTGTTCCCTGAACAAGTGGTTCTGTGCGAGTCCCACAGAGCTCGAGGTCCCGTGAGTGGGTCAGCAGGAGGTTTCGTGCTGGCTGCACCCTGGGATGTTGCCTTCAAGGCATGCAGTGCTGAGGCATGAGGCAGCTCCTGAATCAGCTTGGGGAGCTCACGGCAGCAGGTCCTGGGAGCCAAGAGGAGTCACTCAGGTGTCACTGGGAGTGCCACAGCCACCAGCTCCTGGTCTGCTTCCAAGCAGCCAAAGGTGGAAGGGAGAAAACAAGTATGGGTGCTTTGATGGCATCTCAGGTGCTTTGGGAAGCTTTGCCTGTGTCTTTCTCCAACCCTGAAGGGCAGCAGCACAGACAGAGCAGCCCAGTGGGTTGGCTGGAAGCCAACTCCAGCTCTGCCAGGCTCTAACCAGAAGCCTCCTGGCTGTGTTGGGTGGTTGTCAGGGTGCGACACTGATAACTCAGTTCTTTTCCTCTGGACCAAGATTAATGAGAGAGAGACTGTTTTCATGTTTGGGCTCAGTTGTTTATTCTTCCTTATCTATATTACATCTTTACAGACAGTGAGGAGCTATGTACACTAGGCTAACAAGCTACAAAAAGGAGGGATGAGGTATCTCTCCAAGGTCTCTTAAGTGTCAATTCACCCAATAATGAAATGCCAAGTAACTTATTTTTATTTATAACCCAATAGCCAAACACCTGTGTCCTGCAAAGTGGATTCTTCCATCCAGTCACCTAATATTACCCAAGAACCCAAGACAAAGGAGAAAGAGCCACTCCCCTAAATCCTCCATCTTGTACTTCATTTACTAAAATAGCTAAAACTCCAAACTCTTTCTCACCCAGTGACTTAATATAATTCTATCTAACTTACACATTCATATTCTCAGTTTCTCCACTTAGTTTTCTTAGTTTCTCTTAGTTTAGAAGCTTTCTCTATGGTCTTAGGTTAAACTCGGTGTTCTTTCGAGTGTCTGAGCCTGTCAGCACAGATAAAGGGATATTTTTTGTGCCTCTGACTCCAGCAGGTGGTGTTCCCCAGCCTTGGCAGCCCAGGAGCACTCAACCCCACTCTGTCCTTTGCTTCTCTGCCTCCCACTCTGGCAAGAGCGAGGTTTCCCAGAAAGGGGATCAAGAAAGGGAAAGAATCTCTTGGAGGAAGCCTCGGGCAAGTGGGCTCTGTGCCAGTTCCTCCTGTCTTCCACACTGATTTCTTGCCTTCTCACTTGCAGCTACATCTCCAAAGGTCAGCAACTGCATGGATCAGCCCAGAGCCCCAGGAGGGGACAGAAGGACAGAGCCACAGGGTGACAGGGAGCTGTTTCCTGAGGGGGAGCTGCTGCTCCAGGTATGGTGATGTAGCTTGGTCATTTGGGGTCTCCCCAAGCAGCTCTGCAGCTTGTGGTCCCTTCTGTGGAGCAAGAGGAGACCCTGCCTTGCCCAGAGCTGCTTCACTGTGATTCCTGCAGGCACTGAGTTCCTGGGGACAGACACCACTGACACTGCTGACCTGTGACACTCACTGTGTGACCTGGCTGGGACCAGTCCAGATCCCATTCACACCACTCCCTCCCATCCCAGTGCAAGTTGCTGCCCCTTACATCTCACAGACACAAGCTGCGTCCCAACCAAGAGGTTCAGGGATGTCATATGGTGGCATAAGGATTGATCCCTGAGTAGTTCCCAAGGTGCTGGCTTGGTTCATTATCTTTAGCAAAGGCTAAGAGGGGAATGTTGAGAGCTGTGGCACAAAACATCCCCCAGGAACTCCTTGCCCTGCCTGGGGCATTGCGTGAGCTCCGTAGGGATGAGTTCACAGCCTGTCTGGGATGGGATTGGATGGGAAAAGCCCAGGTTCAGTTTGTAGGTTGTGGGGGAGAAAAGGAGTTGGCTGTTGGAAAAATGGTATTGGACAAAACCAGTGGGAAATGAGAGCTTTGCTTTGTAGAAAGGCCAGGTGTGTGGCATGAAACAGGTGACAGTGAAGCTGGGAGCACAAGGAGCTGGTCAGTCAGCCTCCCATAGTGCTGCTGGTTTGGGCTGCCATCTATAACTGTGAGCCAGAAGGGCCTGGCCTGGAAAGGTCACATGGAAAGGCTGACTGCTGGGCATGTCTGCTGAGGAACATGCTGTTCACTGGGACTGCAGGGCGAGCCTGTGCCAGACCTTCAATCATTCCGTGCACTTGGCTTCTCCTGTGCCTGGGTTCTCACAGAATCCCAGAATGGTTTGGGTAGGAAGGGACCTTAAAGCTCATCTTGTGATGAGCTGCCAAAGGCAGGTACACCTTCCACTGTCCCAAGCTGCTCCAAGCCCTGTCCAGCCTGGCCTTGGACACTTCCAGGGATCCAGGGGCAGCCACAGCTTTTCTGGGCACCCTGTGCCAGGGCCTCCCCATCCTCCCAGGGAAGGATTTCTTCCCAATACCCCATCTCTCACTGCCATCTGGCAGTGGGAAGCCCCCCCTGTCCTGTCCCTCCATGCCCTCTCCAGCTCTCTTGTAGAGAAAAGAATAAGGAAACACTCCCCTAAATCCTCCATCTTGTACTTAATTTACTAATGTAGCTAAAAGTCCAAACTCTAACTTTCTCACCCAGTGACTTAATATAATTCCCTCTATCATACACATTCATATTCTCAGTTTCTCCACTCAGTTTTAGAAGCTTTCTCCATGGTCTTAGGTTATTGGGTTATTAGTTTATTGGGGCTTCAGTTCTCTTCTCCCAGCTCTCCAAAGACCAGCAGATGGATGCTTGGCTCTCCTTGAACCTGACTTTAGTCACTTCAGCCCTGCTCCTGCAGAGCCCTCCAGGCATCAGGCAGTGTGAGCAGATCCCCAGCAGGAGCCTCCATGTGAGATTTTGGCGAGGCAATAACTCCTGGAAGCTCAGTGTGACTTTTGGCAGTGAATCCTGGACCACACAGGGTCCCCCATGGCACCAGCTGTGTGTGAGTGTGACGGTCATGGAGGAGCAGCTGGATACCAGGAGGGAGCTCCAGGCTGCCCCAGCATGGAGCTGCTCCTTAGCCGCTCCCCAGGGCTCTGGACTCGAACCATATGATGGCAATGTGTTGAGCCACCTGAGCATTGGCAGACTGGGGTGATTGAAGGCATCTGGAGAGCTTATGAGGTGTTACTGTGACAGAAATCCCTCCACTGAGCTTTCTGGTCGCTTTTTTCCCCTCCCCACAAAGATCATTTTAAGCACAGACGGATTTGCAGAAAGCTCTGATTCAGTGTCCCTCAGGGGGCTGCAGCACACCAAGTGAAGGGACTGGTCCCCCAGCAAGCTGGATCTGTGTGCTGGGTTTCCATTTAAGGTGTTCTTTCCCTAATTTCTCTCCTATTCCCTAATAAGCATATCACTGTCAAGAGTAGGGGGCATGAGTTACTATCTAATGCAGTGCTTCGCTTTTGGGGGAAGTCAGCCTGAAATTGTCACCAGAATCATAGAATATCCAGAGCTGGAAGGGACCCACAAGGATCATCGTGTCCAAAGCAGAGCCCCAGGAGAGTGTAGCTATTCCCAGCTGGAGAGAAGGAAACCAGCTGCAGGTCCTCCATGAAACCTCTCTTCAGCTGGTCCCTCCTGATGCAGGTGCTGCCCTGCAGTGAGAGGGGGCTCCATGGGGGTTTGGAGAAAGAAGTTGGTCCATCTTGGTTGGATCGTTTTTCGTGCTACAAAAAACTCCACAGAACTGAGTCTTGCATGGTTACCAGGTGCTGTCCTTCTTTGTGGGGCTCCTTGGAGGAAGAAGGTCCCTTCTTGTCCCTGGATGCTAAAGAAACACCTGGGGGATTTCAGCATTCAGCAGCTGGATTGAAGCTGGGGAGAGTAACTTTGGACAGAACTTTTGCTTTCAGGCACTCAATGGATTTGTCATCGCCGTGACTGGAGACGGTTACATTTTCTACATCTCCCCTACTGTGCAGGACTACCTGGGCTTCCACCAGGTGGGTACTGTGTTTTCCTGGCTGGAAACAGATACATGCAGTCCTGGTGTGGGAAGGAGGTGTGGATGGGGAGCAAAGCTTCCCAAAGGGCAGCAGCTCCTGTGGCAGGGGAAGGAACTGGAGTTGGCCTGTTCTTTACTCTCAATCCCTGCTCTTCTAGTGCCCAGGAAGGGAAACCTTCTGTGTCCTCCTCCTGACACCTCTGCCAAGCTGTCCAGGAGCAGGCACTATTCTCTTGTGTCATTCCAGTCAGATCTCATCTACCAGAGTGTGTATGAGCTAATCCATGCGGACGACAGGGCCGCCTTCCATCACCAGCTGCACAGGACCCCACTGCACGCTGCTGACAGTGAGTGCCAGGGTGGTCCCTGCAGGGTTTCACTTGAGCAGCTCTGAGCCATGAGCTCAGGGTGTGCAGCACAGCTTGGAAAGCTTCCTTTTCTCTTTGCTTTTCCAGCCTTTCCCTCTGAGCAGCCGCTGCTGGCTGGATGCAGTATCACATCCCGCCCCCAGCACCTCCATGCTGAGAAGCAATCCTTTGTGGAGAGGAACTTCACCTGCCGCTTCCGCTGCCTGCTGGATAACTCCTCAGGATTCCTGGTAATGCTGGGACACCCCTCTGCTCCCCCTGTGCCCACAAGGTGTTCCCCCAGAGCCACTTGTGTCCCACAGGGATGAGAGCACAGCCAGTTCCCACCTTGTTTGCTTCACACCCACGTTTTCTAATCCCTGTAAGGCCTTGAATTTGCATGGGCGCCTGAAGTTCCTTCTTGGGCAGCAAAAGTCAGCAGCAGACAAGTCCCCAGTTGCTCTCTTTGCCATCGCCACACTCCTCCAGCCTCTCTCCATTCTGGAGCTCCGGACCAAGACGCTGATCTTTCAGACAAAGCACAAGCTGGACTTCACTCCCATGGCCTGTGATTCCCGGTAAGGCATCTCTCACTTTCCCCATGACAAAATCCCTGGTTCTGGACAGAAAACTAGACCTGGTGGGGACAAGGAACACCTGTCCCAGCTCCCATGGCCTGATGCTTTTGTCCCTCTGCTGCAGGCCCCCAGTAACACAGGGAGCAGGTTAACAGGGCACTGGCACTTGTCTGCCATGGTTTGTGAAACAGGGGATGCAGCTCAGCCCAGGGCAGGGCACTGCAGCACCCAAAGTGGGAGTCCGGCCTGTGGGGTGCAGCTATAGGGACTGCACCCCTGGTGTCACTGCATTCCTGTGCTGTTTCCAGGGGCAAGGTTGTTCTGGGATACACGGAGGTGGAGCTGTGCAGGAGGGGTTCCGGGTACCAGTTTGTGCATGCGGCTGACATGATGCACTGCGCAGAGCACCACGTGAGAAGTAAGTGCTGGGGGGCTGTTGGGGGGGTGTTTGTGAGCTCCCTCAAGGCTCTGGCCTTGCTGTACTATTGCTCCTTGGTGCTGTCTGTCCCGGGGCTGGAGTAGCTGCGATAAAGGCTCTTCCTCCTGGATGAGCTCAGGGAGCTGGCGGAGAGACAGCATCCTGCGTCTCCTGCCCCCATAGCACGGCCACAAGGTGATGCTCAACCCCATGGCATCTTGCACATGTCATTTGTCTGGCTCTGCGGGGGAGCTCTGTCGCTGGCACTTCTCTTGTGTCCCTGCCTCAGTGATGAAGACGGGGGAGAGCGGGCTGACGGTGTTCCGGCTGCTGACCAAGAGGGGCAGCTGGCTGTGGGTGCAGGCCAACGCGCGGCTGGTGTACAAAGGGGACAGGCCTGACTGCATCATCGCCCGCCAGCGAGCCCTGTCGTGAGTATTGCTGGCCCCCTTTAGCTGCTCTGGGCGTGGGGGGCTGCCCGAGGCATGCAGAGGCCGTGAGGGCGGAGGAAAGGATCGGTGGGGTTGGACCTTTGCAGCGTTTGTCCTCCTGCAGTGTGATTGAAGCGGCTCTGAGGAGGTGGTTGTGGACATGCTGCCTGGGAGCAGCAGCCCTTTCCTGAGCCATGCAGATCTCCCCGTGGGCTCCCCAGAGCCTTCTTGTAGCTGGCCCAATCCAGTCCCCTTTTCCTCTAGAAAAGCCAGGGGCAGGGCTGTGAGTTCCCCCCTTGCTGTCAGAAGGGTGGGTTTGCCTGGCCTGGAGGAACTGCTCATGCTGCTTCCATCCCCTTTTCTCTCTGCACCAAAGGAATGAAGAAGGGGAGGAACATCTCCGGAAGAGAAATGTGCAGCTGCCTTTCAGCTTTGCCACGGGGGAAGCAGTCTTGTATGGGAATGACCTTCCTGGGTTCTTGGACTCGTTCCAAACCAAGGCAGAGTTGCAGGTGCAAGCAAGCTCCAACTCAGAGCAGCACTTGGTAGACCCCAGCTCTCTCCTTGGGGCCATGTTGAAGCAGGATGCATCCATATACAATTCCAATGCTGATAACGTGCCTCAGTTCTCCCTGCCAGGCTTCATCCCTGAGCCTGATGGGCTGAGCCAGAATGAGGACATCAGCAGTGCCAAGGAGGACAGCAACTCCCTCCTGGTGGTCATCGAAACCCTCTTTGAGAAGAGTGAGGTGGATGTAAACATCTGCCAGAGCCTTGGCGTGGACAGCACAGAGCTGCAGCAGTGGGAGGAGGCTCTGCTCAGCCTGGAGGCAGAGGAGGAGCTGCCAGCTCAGGGGCTCCAGAGGCCGGGCACCAAGGTGACATCCTGTGTGGAGCAGATGCTCCTCAGGGAGGCTGCTGGGAAGAACCTGGACTTCCCATCCTGGCATGAGGAAAACAGTGCTGTGGCTCACTTCCAGCGCTGCTGGGCAGCTGGTTCGGTGTTGCCAGCCCCAGCACAGCCCCGGGCAGCGGGCACACAGGGAGGCCATGGGGCTGTGGGCTCTGTAGCCTCTGTTACCTCTGAGGGCAGCTCTGCCCAGCCAGAGCAGCAGGGCCCATTTAACCCAGCCGGGCCGGTGGCAGGGACGGTGCTGGGCATCCCTGTCTCTGGCAGCAAATCCTCTGCAGCACTTCAGCTGGCAAGCCAAGCATTTCAGGCAGAAGCTACCCCCTCTGCTGCTGTTGGTGGCACTGTTCCTACTGCTCAGAGCCAGCCTGTGTGCCAGCTGGTGGGCTCAAGCTGCCCACCCCCACTGCACTCAAACAAGTTGGTGACTCTGTGGCAAAATGTCCCCCTCCAGGCAAACCCAGCCAGTTGCCCATGGGAGGCTTGGCTGGCCAGAGCTCCAAAACAGCTGGAAGCTGCAGGAGCACATGTGGAATCCCAAACTCTGCCAGCTGGCAGCCCTGAGAGCCCCTTGGGGGCTGGGCTGTGGTTGCCACCCCTGTCCCAGTCTGTTCCTTGCTCTGCCCAGGGCTCGAAGGAGTCCCTGTTCCGCAGGGATGGGAAGCTCTGTGATGCGGAGGCTGCTCTCCCTGCACCCTTAGGAGTCAGGCAGTTGCCAGGGCATGGCAGCTTCCCCAAACAGCCCCTGGCAGCCCATGTAGAGCCCAGCTTTTCCTGGGAAGGGGAGCAGGCAGTGCTCCAAGAGGACAAGTGGTTCTCGCAGCTGTGGCTCCCGCAGGCTGGGGCAGCTTCTCAGAGGAGCCACGGGGAAGGTCCAGTGCACCCCAGCAGGCTCCTGCTGGGCCCCAGCACAGATCCCAGTGCCCACCAGCTGGACTGCGTTGTGCTGCCTGAGTGCCAGTATGGAAACAGCCTTTTTAGGCACAAGAGCAGCTTCCTGAGGGATGCTGCTAAAGTGTCCTTTCCCCAGCAGCTGGGTGCTTTGCCTCGTCCCACTGAGAACCACCCTGGAGCACCCTGCTCCTCACCGGGCTCAGTTTCGAGGTCCTCAGCAGCTCTCCCTGTGAAGGTTGCAGGAGCACCCCTGTGTGCTGGGCAGGGCCCTGGCTGCCCCTCAGTTCCCTTCTCAGCTGGGCAGCCCCCCATGCCTGTGAGATCCAGCTCAAGGTGAAGTGCGAGAGCTGCAGGACCTGAAGGGCACCTGGCTCCTACGGAGGGTCTGCCAGGGGTGCAGCCACACCATCTTTTGTGGGCAGCCTGGTTTGGAGCTCACTGTGAACCAGGAGCCCTGTCTTGGAAAGCCACCAACAGCTGTGAGCTCATACCTGCCAGTCGTGCTCCCTGGTTTCCCAGGATTTTGTCTTCCAATGCTGTCAAGCAGTCTAGGATGAAGTGGTTTGGACTTTTCGTTCCATGTGAAGTCTTTCAGGGAGATGCAGCTGTGCCACTGGGGAGGCTTACAGGTTCTTGGGGTCCAGGGAAGGACATTGCTTGCTGGCACGTCCACGTACTTGGGGTAGCCTCTTCCAGATGGAACTGGTCCCTCACAGGCAGGTAGCACCGAATGCTGTTTCTCAACAGAACAGTGTGGTTTCCTCATCTCCTGTGTTGGACCACCCTTGTCATGTTGCTGTTTGGTCCCCTGCATCATCTCTGCCTGCCTGAGCCTCTTTTCCTCATGTATTCTCCATCTCCAGAGACCGCCCAAATCCTTTCAGAAAGGTGTTACCAAGCACTTCAAAGAGCTCAGCAGCATTGAAGGGTCTCGGTGGGAGTGGAGGCACCTCGGGGGTTTGGTCTCTCCAGCAGCTTTCCAGGGGAATTTGGGAGGGACAGGTACCAGGCCTTTGTGAACTTTCTGGGATGCAGGGTGGGGAAGGTCCAGCCAAGCTCCCCTTGGGTTTGTCACTGGCCTTCCTCTCCTCTGCTCCACAGTGCCATGGGACTGAGGAACAGCGAGGGTTCCCCTGTGGTTCTGCCAAAGCAGTGAGAAGGAAAGGCAGGGAGGGATGCAATAACCACTCCTCTCCCTGTCAGACCCACTTGGTGCCCCTCAAACCTGCAGCCCAGCACAACCACTTGGTTGAATTCTCTTCCTTTTCTACATATGTAACCTCAGATGTGAATGAATTGTTTTTTCCCCACCACTGAGCAAAGTCTTGCAGATCCATCAGGGAAACTCACAAAAAAAGCAATGACTGGGGAGGGAGAGAATAATTTGAGACCACACTGGCTTGCAGCATTGGGCCAGAGAGATCAGAGTGCTTAGGGACATTCACACCTTCCCCTCATGCACCCATCACCTTGAGTATCACATCTGCCTGTACACCAGTGTTAAGCATTTAGCAAGCAAATTAAATCAGCAATTTAATTAGCACAGGACCAGCAGCAAGCCCACATGTCCTGGTGTGGAGTGGCCTCATCTCCATGGGTCTCTTCCTTCACGCCCAGCTTTGCCTCAGCTGACGGAGCCTGGGAAAGAGCAAGCTCCTGTCTGCAGCCTGGCAGCACAGCAATGCTGAAATGTGCTGGACCACTGAGGTGGCTTCGAGGAGCACCTAGGATGGGGCAAGGAGTTGACTGGCTGTGATCTGGATCCAAAAAGCAGCAGAATGGACTCTGCTCACCAGCCTCTGTTATTCTGGCACCTGTGGGAAAGTGCTGGGGCATACCAGGGCCTCCCACTCCTGCAAGAGATGGGCCTTGGGGTGGGGGCGCTGCTGCTTGGGGCCCTGCCAGACCCCCCTGTGCTCTGTCACTGGTGTCTGATCTCTCTGTCCCTCGTGGCTGTGCAGATAAAGTCTGTTCTGGTGCCAGCGTCTCATTTTCCGCTCCGTGATTTCTTTGTGTTGCTGGTGGCAGCCAGAAGGTGCTGAGGAGAAAAGAGCTGTCGCGGAGCCTCACCCCTGTGTTTGGCTATGTATTAAAAAAAGGCGATTCGCTTTGTGTGGTGCCGATGTTTGTTTCGACCCGAAACCATGTCTCTCCATTTCCTCCTTGACTGAGCAAGTGCTGGGAAAAGCCTGGTCTGGGCGCTGGGCGTGTGACACTCGTGGTGTTGTCGCTGTCCCAGCTACTGCAGGCACTCGCTGCAGCGACAGTAGCACCCCCAAACTGCCCTGTGGCATTGTGGGGCTCACAGGCAGGGTTACACTCGGCACTGACACGCGTGGTTGTTAATATCCGACTATTAAAAATTATTACAGAGATGCCTCTGCTCGAAACAAGGTGTAAACGACACCATATGCCAATGCCAGTAGTATGGATTTTTATTTAATGGTAAACGTGAGGGAGAAGAGGGAAAAGAGGAAGAGGGTGAAGAGAAAGTGACAGAGAAACAGACTGCGCAGAGAAAAATACCATTACTTTGTAGATTTCCGTGATGTTCTGCTGGTGTCTCAGTGTGCTGCTGAGGTGGTGACTGCAGACTACACCCGTCGAGTGGTGAAGGGAAAGAGTCCGACAAACACCACATCCATTTGGTTTATATTCTGTTGAGGCTACGTGGGAACATCCCCTGGGACGGGAAGCTTCACAGCGGAGAATGTTGTGGATCACGGGACACTTGGGGACCCTTGACACCTTCTGAGATGTTGCTCCAAGTGAGCCCAGTACCTTCAGCTTATGTGTGAATGTCCCGTACTTGGGAACGGAGCCTTCACAGCTGAGCCATTAAGTAAGGGAGGACATTGGCATGATAAAGACTCCTCCGCATAGTAGGATTTGCCTCTTATCAGCCTTTTCCCTTATCTGCAAGCCCTTCTGCAGCTTCAGGCCGCTCAGCGCACGGCTGGCAAAGCACCGAGTGGATTGTTCGAGCCCTTAGCACACACGGTCCAGTCCGTACCTCCCCTTCGCCACCCTCACATCCCCACCCACCCGTAGCTCCCTGCTCACCGCCACCCACAGCCCTTTCACCTCCTCATTAACCCACTCCATCAGCGCCCAAATCCCTTCCCAGCTCCATCACACATCAGTCCCCTGCCGCCCTAAATCCCTGTCTGTGCCCCATCGCCCCCCTCGCCGGGGGCGGGCCGTTCCCATTCCCGCTCCCATTCCCGCTCTCGCTGCCTCTCTCCCTGAGGGAGCGGCGCTCGGACGCTGCCGGCCCGGCCATGTACGCGGGGCGCAGGCGGAGGAAGCCGGTGCCGCGGGCGTGAGTGAGGGCGAGAGCGCTGAGGGGCCTGGGGAAGGGCTGGGGGGGCCGGGGAAGGGCTGAGGGGAGTCCTCGGTAACGCGGTTGTGACCGGCAGGACGCGGCCGGGCCCGGCCGAAGGCGGCGGCTCCAACCCGTCCAAGCGGCACCGGGAGCGGCTGAACCGGGAGCTGGAGCGGCTGGCGGGGCTGCTGCCCTTCCCGCCCGACGTGGTGGCCGGGCTGGACAAGCTGTCGGTGCTCCGCCTCAGCGCCGGCTTCCTGCGAGCCAGGAGCGTCTTGGGCGGTAAGGGATGGTCCCAGCGCTTCCCCCTGCTCGCAATTCCTGCCTGGAATTCCTGGCCTCCTCCTGCGGCTGTGTCACCCCCTCCCGGGCTGTGACACCCCTCGGCAATTCCTCTCCCCCCTTCTCTCCAAAATATTTAGTGCGTTTGTTTTCCTCCACAGAGTATTTTTATTTTAGTATTTTAGAGTATTTTTTATTAAGTATTTTAGAGCTTAGGATTTATAGCGGTTTGTTTGTTTGTTTGTTTGTTTTTTTCCTTCCCCATAGTTTTACGGGGGTTCCCTCATCAAAAACTTGTCTTCTTTCCCTTCCAGAACGGTGCTTTTTTCCCCCCTGGAATTTCCCTCGCTTTCAGGAATTTCGCATCGATCCCTCCTCGAATTTTGTGGGGTTTTTTTTCACCCCCCTCGCACTTTGTGTTTCCCTCCTTGAATTTTGACGGGTTTTTCCCCCACTTGACTTGGGAGAGGGAAATTGGGAAATCGAGAGGGAGGGATTTCCCTCTCCCCCTCGAATTTTGCTCCTTTGGTTTTTATTTTCCCCCTCGAATTTTGGGTTTAGTTTCTCCTCCTGCCCTCCCCACCTCTCCTTGGATTTTGGGGCTCCCACCCTAATTTTATTTTTCTGGCTCAAATTCTGGTGCGTTTTACCCCCTCGGATTTTGTGTCTTTCCTGTCTTTATGCCACTGGAATTTTGCCGTGCCCCCCTAGAATTTTGCTTCCCCCTCCCCCCGAATATTTTGTTCTTCACCTGACCTAAAATATCATCTTTTTACCCCTCAGAATTCTGGTTTCTTTCCCTAGAATTGCTTTTTCCCCTTTCTAGCCCCTGTTTCCTCGCTGTGCCATCTCCGGCTGCCAGGCTGGTGCTGCGTCCGGCACTGCCGTGGGATCGGAGGGATCTGGAGGGATCTGATTCAGTTTGTGGGCTCAGCTGAAGTAGAAAATTCTGGTTTATGCGGGAGGGTGAGCCAGAGCCTTGTGCGTCCCGGTTGGGGAGTTTCTCCATGGAAGTGACTTTTTTCCTTCTGTTACGGTAGACTCACTGTGCTGGCGGTGAGCAATAATTCCCTGTGATGCGCTTAGAGCTGATGTGGGAGCCTTTTATTTCTGGGATTCTTTTAATTTTGGGAGCCATTCCACCGCACTGTAATTGTGATTACAAGGATTCCCTCAGGAGGGCATTGAGGCATCCCTGGAGTTTCCTGGTGGAGTAGCAGTGGCTTGAAAACGCTGCGTTTTCAGGCCACAGAAACTCCACAATTTCTCACTGAATATATTCAGTGATTTCTTTTTAATTTTTCCCCCACCTTTTCCACTCCTTTAACCCTGCTTAAAGGATTGGCAAGTGGGTGAGTTGGGAGAGTTGTTTGCCTTGCCACACCAGGTATCAGGAAATTTACTGTTCTGAGATGGTCCCTCAGTTTTTTTGGGTCATCGCCCCCCCCACCCCCCCCCCGACTCCATCATTCCGACTGGTTTAATTCCATAGCACCGACTTCCCATTTGTCCAAGGCTGTAGGATGGATAGGCTTTGAGGCAGGTGTGGCAGGGAAGGAAGACAGCTTCAGCCTTTCAGATGCAAGTAGCTTAATAAAAATTAAATAGAATCCTTAAATGGAACTCTGGGCAAGCTTATCAAGAAAATAATTGATTTTAAGTGACTTTATTTATTTATTTATCTATCCACCCTGCTTGGGCGCTCCCTGAAAGAAGATTGTGGGAAAGCAAGGACAAAACCTGTCATGTGCTGCCATGGATTGTGAGGAGAAACATCTGGAGCAGGTCTCAGGTGTTGCCCACAATTGCTGACAGCAATTCACCCAGCAGGTTTATGCCAGCCCATTCCCTGCCAGAATAAATAAATCATTATTGATTTATGAATTATTAATCAATTTTAATGTTACTTCACCATCTCGGTTTACACATAGCTGATATGTGGGGAAGTTTGTATGGGCTTAAATGTCTTTTATTTTTACAAGGATGCATTTTTCCTGGGGGCATGAAGATTTTTATTCTTTATATAGCCCCAAGGGAAGCTGTCCCTGCTGCCTCTCTGCCTGCAGATGAGTGACAGGAATCAGACGATTTAAGGCTGTTCAGTGTTCTGTTTAATCTTTGGAGTGGTTTAGACATAATCAAGCACTGCCTTTGCAGTGTCATTTACCCAACAACAGGGTTATTTAGCCAAACAAACCCTTCCTCGGGCTGGTGTGCTAGGTTGGTAGCTTTCTGCAGAGGTTTGGGGGAGTGGAGGGCAAGAGCATCCTGTGTGTGTTTGTGGACTGATTCCACTGAAATCTCTCCAGTTTAACAAAGCAGGAAGCAGCTCGTGCCAGGTGTGTTCAGCAGCTCTGGGAGAGGAGGGATCACAGCCAAGGTCTCCTCCTGATCCATGGCAGGTGGAAGAGGCTCCCTTTGTGATGGGACAGCACTGCTGTCTTCTGTGAGATTCCCAGGTGCCTTTCCCTTTCCCCATTGCATGACTTTGCAATCCCAAGTTCACACAAGTGTTTGCTTACCATGGAAGAGGCGAGTTTAGGAGGGGAGCAGGATGATGGGAGGGATGGCAACATTGAGAGAGGTGTCCCGCCAGGGGGCAGGATATCCAGCCCATCCAACATCCATCCTGCTGGAGAAGCAGCACTGACCAGAACCCAGTACCTGCAGCAGGTAGGAAAAAAGGAGCTGAGGTTGGCTTCCAAGCTGAGGCTCCCATCCAAACATCAGTGCCAGCTGATTTAAAGGCTTGTACCTCCTCCTTTCCCATCCAGGTCTCTTCCCCTACAACAGTCCTCTCAAATGCCTTATTTCTTATCCACCTTGGTGAGCAAATACTTCTAATTGTCATTCACTACCCTGACCTTCCTCCCTGCTGCGCTGGAGGCTCTTTTAGCTCATGGGGTTCGGTAGAGGTGGGACTGTGCTGCAGGGCACCTCCCTGTCCCTGTGCCACTGCCCTGAGGGTGCCCAGCGTGTCACACCAGCTGTGTGCCAGCAGCTTATCCTGGTGGTGCCTGCGGGGCTGCTCCCCTCTAATCCCTCCCTGTCACGCCCCTTGGAGCAAAGGCCCGGCAAATGCTGCTGGCTGGGGAGGAGGGGTCCCTGTCTTTTCTGCCTTCCTCACCTCCTGGAAAGGGGGAGAGAAGGAAAGACGCTCCAGGGGAAGGTTTGGTGGCTTGCTCTGTGTGAGGATTTCTTACTAAAAAAAAGATGCCTCACAGGCACCTTGTCATGTGGCTGTCGGGTGCCATCTGTGTAGCTTGGGCCACTTACACCCCTGGTGGGAGTCAACTGGCAGATGTCACAACAGCCAAGGGTCACTTTGGAGAAGTGTCTCTCGCCGTTTGCTCCTGCAGCGCGCTGGAGAGGTCATCTGAGCTGTGCTTCCCATCCTACAGCAAGCCTGGCCCTTCCTGCTGTGTGTGTGTGTGACACCCAGGGGGCCAGCTGGGTGTCCCCAGGACACTCTATGCCTGTCATAGGCACCTGATGTTCAGTGACCTGTGGGATTACTCTTGATACTCTCAGTCAAGTCTGGGATTTATGAGCTGTGGGAAGAGCAGTAGGAAGAGGTCAGTCTGTGATGCCAGGAGATGGATGTTTGAACCCCATAGCAATGGGCTAACCTTGAAGTGAGGATCCTCAGAGATGCAGATGCACCTCTGCCTGTGTTCAGCATCCTGCCTGGCTCCCTGGCTGGGAGGAGAGGGGGAAACACCCTGGCATGTGTTGTGGCCTTAGAAACTTTTGGTTCCAGAGGGGCTTGTTGGCTGCACAGTCTCTGGCTGTGGGTCAGAGAGGTGTTCCGGGCTCTGCATGCCTGAGGTTGTGTATCCAGAACTCAAGCAGTTTTTCTCTCCCATGTACCTTTAAAAGATAACACTCTTGTGGATGTTGGGGGCTTGGAGATTTTATCAGAGTCCTCTCTAAATCATTGGGGGCTGCTGTAGGATCAATGTGCTGCCTCGGGGCTGAGCCTCACTCTTTGAACTGTGATATGAGCCCAGGTTGTTATTGCTGGAGCTGTGGTGGCCCAAAAAGTGCCTGAGCTGCCGTCGGGTCAGTCTGGAAAAGTGCTTTTAATTATATAATTATCATAGACTATGTCGTGGTTTTAAACCAGTAATTAAAAAAAATTACTTATTTTTTGCTGTGAGATATGGATTAGAACAAGAGCAAAACAGGCATAAAACTTAAAAGGAATAAAGAAAGTTTATTAACAAACCACAATAATAAGAACACCAGAATAAACTTCCAGAAAAACCTTTTTATCCTTTACTACCCACCATTCCCTTGTTCACATGACAACAGAGACAAAAACTTTGGAACTTTGGTGGTTAAAACAGTCCCGATTCCTGCTACAGTCTTTTCACCAGTCTTTGTAGAGAAACAAGTTTTCTTCTGCGAATCTATGGAGTTTTCCACAAGAAAGCTATTTCTGTTATAGCTTTCTATTTTTCTGATGCTAGCTGCTCAGAACTCTTATCAGAATTCACTCCTCCCATTTCACATCACTCTGAGGTGTGTATGGGCCATGAGTCTAGGGATGGCATTTTAAGGATGAGTTATTCAAAGGCAAAAGTTTTCTTCATCTGTCTCTGTGAGTTCCACTAGAAAACAGTTTTCTCATTGCCCCCCAAGGCTTCAAATCTTCTAGCACTTCACTGTATCACAATTACTCTACTTTTTACTCAAAGTCCACACTTTGAACACTCCATTCCTCCCTACATACTCTATCATGAATTAAAGGAGTTCTTTCAGGACTTTATTGTCCATTTCCATAGCTTTAACAGAAAGATATTTCAGCTTATAAAGCGTCTCCTTATTCTCTACCTTTTCTGAAGCTTCTTTTCTTTCCTGTCACTGGTAGTTTATAAAGTCTCTTTTCATGTTGATTATTCTCTTTTTCTTTCTCTGGATAAAAAAAGATTAATCTGCAAGTCTCATCTGGGTAATGAAAGAGTTAAAATCTTGCCCAGCCTTTGTAGATGGTTCTG